CATGCACGCATGCCCATGTGGCCGCAGCCGCGGCGGCTTGCCAGCTCGCCCGCTCCACGCCATCCTCGTGCTCCGTGCGCCGCCCAGTTCGCCCGCTTCGCGCCGGCCGCATCCTCGGTGCGCCGCCTAGGCCGCGAGCTCCGTGCGCCACCAATGGCGAGCAGTAGCAGCAGCACGTCGGGCGAGCTCCCCGACTGCGTGCTCCGCGCGCCGCCAAGGCTGCGAGCTCGGCGCGTTGTCCGGGCTGCGTGCTCCGCCAGCCATGTGCGCTCGGCGTCAAACGTCGACCGAGCCATGCACGGAGTGCTCTGCTCTTGAGCCATGATGTTATGATGACGGCATATACTCTTCTTTTCTTTTAGAAAACTAAAAGATAAATATCTTGAAAATATAAGTTATGTATTTCAACTAGCAGCCATCCTAAGCCATGCATCCTTGATCTGTGGCCGAGATGAAAGGAAGAGTGAGGGGCATAATCTGTACCTGCTATTACCAATTTAAAATTTATTAATTATTTATTTGCAGTCTTCAATTATCAAAAATCCACATTTTAGTTCAAAGTATATTTATGATATTTATGATTTTCTTATTTGACAATCTGTCTATTTATTTTTTCCCTATTTAGCACCATGGACTTTTGCTACCATCAAGGGCATTTATGTCATTTTGCTAGCCACTTGACATCGTTACCGGTCTAAATGGACGGCAGTGCCATTTACGAAAGAAAATTTCAACTCGATGCTAGATAAAGAAGTTCAAATTTTTAGTGCCAAATATGAAAGCCCGATTTGTTTTTTTGCCAAATACATAATTCTCTCGATTACTTTACTCTGATAAGTGATAACACTGTTAAACTATGTTTAGTTATAGTTACTGTAGTACAACAGAATTTTGGCTGTGCTAATGGCTTTCCTTATGTTAACTGCAGAGCTCTGGGGTCACAGCAATGCACGATTTGAGAAGCCTTTGTGTCACTAATCTCTCTATTTGGGTTTTGATATATCTGGATGTATGGAGATGAACATACGTCCATCTGTAATCTTCTGGATGTTTTAAGTGCCTATATGAGAAGCTTCTGGAAACGGAATGAAAGCCATGATTTTCAGTGTCAAAGTTCTTGTTAAAGAGACTCATTACGATTTATTTTGCATTATCTGTCTCGATGTGTTGATGGAGATGACTGTTTATGATGTGGTGATGATGTGCTCCATCCGTCCTGTAATATAGTGTATTCTAATATTTAAAATTTGTCCTTAAATATAATGTATTATACAGGATAAAAACCATTTTTACATTAAATACTTTCTATTTATCAACCAATCACCATTAATCACGTTGATGATAGCATCTGATTAGGAAATAAAATGAGGGTACATGCGTCTTTTATGTTTTCTCTTAATTTGTCTTAAAATTTTTAGAATACACTGTATTATAGGACAGATAGAGTATTAGCTTGTTCCGATTAGGTTTAGCATTTTGCATTTTATATATGTATCATATCTTACCTCGTGGATATTAAAATAGACTTTGACTAGTCTGTGCGTAACTTAATAACTTTTCGGGACATGCCTTCCAAATAGCAGTAGGGAAACTTCCCCACACGTGGAATCTCGCCACGTGATTGGAGAGGGATTGCATTGTCCACAAAAATCCCTCCCCTCCGATTACTTCCCAGAGTTAATTACCCTACAGTTGCCGGGGCTACTTTGGCAGTCCCTGGGCTAGTCTCCCCGTGCCAATCTCCCCTGGGCCAAATTTTAGAGTAGTCCTACTACACCTCTGGCTTTAGCAATTAAATTTTTACGGTCTTGCACTTCTTAATTATACTCCAAATTTTTAATAATTATTACTAGCAAACATATCTATACATTATAACGGAATGTACATCCCACGTCATCTATTCCAATCATTGTCACACTATAAAAAATGAGTAATTTGTGGAGGGCTATCCCTCTTTTCATAACCTCTTGACACCGTTTCATATGAGTCTTCCGTCGTTTGAGATCTTGCTCTTCCTCATTGACAACCGTACGATCTACACGTTGTGTCATATGAGCCTTCCATCATCCGATATCTTACTTACCCCACGCACCCCTCAATCCCATGGCTCGACTCCCTCTCGGTCACGTATGCCTGTGGTGACAGCGCGGCCTAAGGTCGCAGCGCGCCAACATGCCAGCAAAACGGATTCGACTTCCTCTCGGTCACAGCTAGGCTCTAGCCTTTTAATCTCAGCCGCAGATCACGAGATGGATGGCTTAGGATTGCTGCTGGTGTGAGACACGTATATGTGTATATTCCTAATATAATGAATTTGTGGGATTATTTTTCTAAAGGAAAGCGGCCATATAGTGCTTATGACGTCATGATGACATCAAACAAAGGAAATACTGGGGCCAAAACGAGCACAGCTGGCGGCCAGCGTTCAGGGTTCGGCCAGGCGCGGTCTCCTCTACCGGGCCAGACAGGGCTCAGTTCGGGCCAAAAAATCGGGCTTTATGTCATGCCCCATGCACATCTATAGGCCTGTTTGGTTGCCCGCATAGGTCTAGCCTAATCTGCATCCATGGGCCTGGCTCACCCCAGCCAGGCTGAGCAAATGCATGCTTTTCTGTTTGGTTCCTTATACGTAGGTAGCCTGATTCGGAAGATAAGTTGGTTGTCCGCACGAGTATAAACCATGTAACAAAAATGTGTCAAAATAAATACTAAAATATTAATTATTTATGATATTATGTTATAATAAACTTTAATTTACCTTATGCAATCTTAATTTGTCTTAAAATCACTTAATATTCACTAATTATGTGCTAATAACATCATTAGTTGTGCTAATCCTGCACGACGCGAGCCTGACTTGCTGATACGCCCGATTCTCACGTTCCTCTTGGGCCTGGCTCGGAGGGCTCTTTTGCATGAGCTCAGCCTGTCCCGGCCATACATTCAGGCAACCAAACGCATGCGACGGGCCTGGCCGGAAGGCATTGCCGGCAACCAAACGCCCCCTATACGGACGGCCAATAATCTTGAAAAAAAAAGGTTGGCCTAACAACAAAATATGTGGATTATGTAACCTGCACCCATAAAGGCCTCGACACCTTTGCAAGGACTCTGTCCATATGCAATAAAAGTTTGGAACAAATTGGTCCAACAATGGGAGAATCCCTCAGATCTTTCGAACAACATTTGTCGTGGCGGGTCAAAGCTAAATTCAACAAGAGCCAGAGGAAGCTGATTGATGGGCCGGAACAAGACCTGCTCCGTGGGCAGCCTCAACTACCTGTCCTCCTCGGTGGCCTACTCAATCGACGGCGGCGGGACTTGACCACCGACGCACACGCGGACACTGAGTCGCTGACCAACGTGGGCGGGGCTGGCATGTACAAGGTGTCGGCATCGTCGCTCGCCGCCGCCAAGTGCGTGGCCGTGGAGCCGACGGAGCTGGAGTACACGTCGGTGGGGGAGAAAAGCCACAGGGTGAGGTTCACGTGTAAGTCATAGCCGTCGAGCACCACCGGTTTCAGGGGGCTCCTGTGGTTGGACAGAAAGCACAGCGTGGATGGATGATGGATCATGGATACGACAATGGTTTATTGCGCCTCAGACTCAAAAAAAAGGCCCATGATTTTGGTGATGGGTGGATGGCGAGTGATGGTGATTGATTGGAATGGAATTATTAGAGAGGAGGTGCAGATTGGAATGGATGATTGGGGTACTATATGTCGGACGTTGATAAATGACTATAAGAGAAAAAAAAATAGCGAAGGAAGTGATAAAGATCATGAAACGAGCTTTATATCTTCTATGTAATTAGATTTGTAAAATTCTTAATATGTTTACATCGCCGTCGTAAGTGTGGGGGCAAAATTTAATGACCCCGTGCAACGCACGGGTAGGATGGCATGGTCATTATAAATAAGTTATAGCTTTTAAAATTTATATAAAAATGGTTAAACATATATAGATACATAGTATTTTGTTATCGTTTTCTACAAATATTTAATTTTTTCTTCCGTTGCAACGCACGGGCCTATTTGCTAGTACGTTTAAAAGAATCAGATTCTATAGCGTGATTGGATTGTATATAAACACAAGTCGTGATTTTGAGTCACAGCGGTATATGAGCTGGTGTATTTTCACGCCTAGGGCCAATAGTTAAGTGCATAAACCATTCGTATCAAGTCTCATGCCAATAAATAACAATAGTAACACATAAAATGCATTGTTTTAAATGATATTTAGCTTCCACGCTTAATCAACAACAAATTTGATGCAAACATGAATAAAAAAGTAATGATGTTTAGCTTCAAAACATCATTACTTTTGTGTTGCTATCTCTATCTGGCAAGAAATAAACTATCTAAATAAACACACCTGATAAAATTTTAATTGCACATTTAGATACATTTAGACATTTAGATAGTTTATTTCTTGTATAGGTTTTGACTAGGAGAAAAATAGAGGTTAGAAGTAGATTTTAAGTTGCCTAATTCACCCTCTCCTCCCTCTTAGCCGTCACGATCCCTTCAACATGCACACACTCTAAGATCATATAAGGTTATTCATGTCATGAGTTACGTGCTTAAAGTTAATATTTAATATTATTAAAGTTTATCTTAGAGCTAATAACTATCATATACTATTAAGGATGCCTAAAAATCCGATTTACTTCTCTTTATAGCGTGTTCGGCTGATCTAGTGCGCAGTGGATTTCAGCTGATTTCAGTTGATTCAATAGTATTCTGTGAGAGAGAATAAGCTGAAACAAGCTAAAACAAGCTGAGAGTGATCAACCGAACACGTGAGCCTATAGTAAACGGTTTCTTATTTCCCAATTTGTTTTGAAGGAAGGACAATAGCAATGTTTTAAACTTTTGAGCTTAAATAGACAGATGACCATATTTCCATCAAGATTCTACATGGTGGTGACCAGGTGCCAGAACACCATGCACGAAACGAAAGGGCAGCGGCAAATTTGTAAGGTTAACTAACTGTAGCAGCTAACGTTTCAACGAGGAGCTCTTCCCACTGAACGCTTGGAACCTGGGCTCGTCCTTCTTCGCGGGTTCCTCCTCTTTAACAGGAGCCTTTTGTAGTTCCTTATTGTTGCTTGCACTTGAGCCGAAAACAAGCTTTCCAGTTTTCTGTCGACTGTAATTGCTAGCTACTGAAGCTGCCGGTGCAGAGATTTGCTGATTTGCTCTCTTGTTTGAACCTGAAGGTGCAGTGGAAGGAACCTGATCAGATGCTTGCAGTTTTGAGGCCTTTCCATCCAACCGCTTTCCAGAACCAGTAAATGGTTTGAATTTCGGTTCATCCTCCACTACAGTAGTATTGCCAACTTCAGCCGCAGGTGCCTTGCTGCTTGCAGGAACTGTTGGTTGCGGTGGTTTCTCAGGTTCTTTATAATCAAGAGGAGGTGCAAAGTCCACTTCACAGTCTGTCTCAATAATGCAAACTGCTGAAGCAGGCTTTGTTTCAACAACATCAATATAATACTGTTTGTTGTTGTAGGCCACCATGATGCTGTCTCCCGTGGTTAAGCAGGAGAAATTCCGTAGAGTTTTCTCCAAGATGGCTTTCGGATTTGAAATGTCCAGGAAATCAGTCGTGTGAGGCTGCAGTTTCGCGTATGTTCCCTTGGGAAGAGTCGCGTTTCTGACATGGACGATGTCACCCTCTTGGGCATGATGATCATGCCTTCTTCTGCCACGAACTCCAGAACACCACAGTGTGAAATCCGCTGCTGGGTTGCATCATCGTTGTGCAGCTCGAATAGCATCTAACGCCTCGTTTAGTTCCACCCAACTTTCAAAAAGTTGCTACAGTATCTGTCACATCGAATATTTGCGGCCCGTGCATTGAGCATTAAATATAGATGAAAAGAAAAACTAATTGCACAGTTTGGTGGGAAATTGCGAGACGAACGTTTTGAGCCTAATTAGTCCATATTTGAACATTATTTGCCAAATAAAAACGAACGTGCTACAGTAGCCCCAAAATCCAAATTTCTCCAACTAAACGAGGGCTAAAGATATGATTTGGTGTGGCCACGGCGCGGCCTCAGGGTGGCCACGTCGTCGGCTTTTCGCGGCCGTTCGATCGGCCGCGCAGACGGCCCAGATCGGGCGAGCCGTGGTCGTTTTACGAAAAACCCCTTTAAGTTTTCGGAAATCAACCCGCGCTCCAGACGTCCTCTCGAAATTTTTACAAAAAAACGCCGTATTATTTCCAAATCAACGCTCAGTCCACACCGGATGGGCACTGGTTTGTTTGCAAAAAAGACCTCCACTTTATCGAAAATCAACTCGCGCTCCCCAGACACTCACCGTTTTTTGCGAAAACATCCTCAGATTTTTCTCAAATCAAAATACAGCCCAACTTTGATTATATCTTTTTTTTCTCAAAAAAATACGTGTGGCCAGTGGACCGCGCGCATGGGCGCGCCCGAAAAACTAGTAGGGTACTCGATGTGCAAGGAAGCGAGACGAGCAAGGGCAGACTGTGGCATTATTACTTTGTCACCGCCTTCCAGGTGTGGCTTACCAACAAAGGATGGTGGATAACAGCGGTACGTTTGCTCAAACGAGTTGCCACGGTAAGCATATCGGTAAAACATTTTTACCTAGACCTTTGCTTCAACTTCCCTCGACCGACAGAAGAACAGATGGATCTGAGCTCCTTCGAGGCGGCGGCGATCGCGCTTCCCGTCCGGAGGAGGTTGCTGGTGAGCTCCAAGTGTTCGTCGTCACGGGCGGGCGCATATTGGCATATATATGCCACCGTCTCACCGAATCCGATTGGAGCGGGTAGCGGAACAGTTCCGATTCGATGACGATGGGACTGGGGGATTAGAGACGACGGTATAATTGGGCTCAGGGGACCGGAATCGGATTGGGTTTTCGACACGAGCACGGAGCAACCATGGCCCATGGGCCTCGTTTCTTAGTAATTGCCCAGTTGGGACGGCCTTGCTGCTGGAAAGTCGCTGACGGTGCACGAGCAGGAGCCAGGAGCCCAGGAAGCAGGAAGTGAGGGCGTGGGTCCGCTCACCATGGACGCGGCGGCAGAGCCCCTACTGCCGCAGCCGGCGACCGCCCTGGACCACCTCGGCCGGCCGGTCTCCCGCCACACCACCGGCCGGTGGTCCGCAGCCGTCTTCATCATCGGTACCCTACTACCCAAAACACGCCCCCGGAGCCCGTGGCTTGCAGGCAAGTCAACAGGGCCGGCCGTCATCTCCGCCTCTCTGACCTGCCTGCCACCGTCGGTGTGCGTGTGCCGCAGGGGTGGAGATCTCGGAGCGGTTCGCGTTCGGGGGCATCTCGGGGAACCTGATCACCTACCTCACCGGCCCGCTCGGGCAGTCCACGGCTTCGGCCGCCGCGGCCATCAACGCGTGGAGCGGCGCCGCGCTTATGCTGCCGCTGCTCGGGTCCGCCGTCGCTGACTCATGGCTCGGCCGCTACCGTACTATCATCAGCGCCTCCCTCCTCTACATCCTGGTATGCTCTCGTACTGCTCTCTCGCGGTATCGTCTCTTGGGCCTCTTCGATTCCAAACGAACATCAGCAAAAAGCTACCGACTGTTGACAGTTTCCTCATGTAGTCATATCTCAACTGTACCAGTAGGCACTATGCGTTTGTACTAGCATGCACTGATTACTGGAGTGACCCATTACCCATGTGTACCCTGGAATTTGTTTCAGAATTCAGGAATGCTTATTAATGGAATAAGAACACATTCTGCCAAAGTATTGCTAAGAATGGTTCCTCTGCAGTTAACCCTTCGATCCTTCATGGAGTTTATGCTGTTCCATAACTCCATTGATCTTGTCGGTTTATTCCCGACTTGCTCCGTGTAACTTTTACCATTTTAATTGACTTCATGTTCAGATAAGAGGACCTGTTGCTTCCAGTCCTTTAGTTTCCATTAAGCAACAATAAGACTCCACTAACCACTATCAACAGTTAATTATGTCCAACTGCCTGAATCTTGAATGGACTGAGAATGAAGGAAGATATGCTCGGGAATAGAATGGATTGATTGATGAGAGGTACAGGGTGTACAATATATAGGCAAGGATATCCTAGGGTTTATAGAATCAGATACCCAATCAACGAAGATCCTTGCCTAATAATCAATCATCTACCATTAAACCCCCTGGGCACCTAGGCCCATGCTGCCAACCCATTAACCCTCAAATCCTCATTCTAACAAATTTGCCCCCAAGCCAAATCATTTGGACCGAATTACTAAACTTTCTACCGTTTCGAAGAACCAAATCGTGTACTCCCTGTCTCATATTACAAGACGTTGTAGAGTTTTTCCCAAAGATCAACATGGAAGCGAAAATACGCAAACACCCCTACAAGGGAATCACTGCACCTGACTGTGATGTCTGCAGATGGAGCTCAGGAGCAGCGCTCCAGCCAGGAAATGTTTATTCAACTCTCCACACTACAGGGGTGTTTGGTTCTTTAGTCGCTCCTAAAATTCATGTCACATCAAATATTTAGATACTAATAAAGAGCATTAAATATAGATTAATTATAAAACCAATTATATAGATAGAGGCTAATTTGCGAGACGATTTTTTAAGCCTAATTAAGTTATCATTAGCACATGTTTACTGTAGCATCACGTTGTCAAATCATTGACTAATTAGGCTTAAAAGATTCGTCTCGCAAATTAGTCGCAAGTTGTGTAATTAGTTTCGTAATTAGTCTATATTTAATACTCCATGCATGTGTCTAAACATTCGATGTGACAGGAATTTTAGTAGCACATGTAGAAACCAAACAGGGCCATAGGTAGATTTTTTTTTCTTTTTTATTCATCTTCAGCTAGTGGATGACAATGAAGTGACAGTTGATGGTAAGCTGGGGTAGGATCAGACGTGGATGCAGGCCTATAACGTCATCTATTCCGAGACATATTTTGAATCCGGACGGAGGGAGTACAACATTACCATAGAGGCACATAGAAATGTATAATTTGTTTAATCAGTGTTTGGTGTAATCATTGAAAGAGCCTGAGATTAGGAAATATTACCAATTGACATGACACGCATCATTTATATTTAGTTTGCTGGATTGTATGCAAATTTCGCTGAATTGTATCAACCTTTCAGGGACTGGGTATGCTCACCCTATGGTCAATTTTTGTGCCACAACAACCAGCACAATTTGGAGACAGCGTGGGTTCCTCAGTATCCTGGATAGGTGTTCATTTAGCTTTCTTCTATGTGTCACTTTACATAGTGGCATGTGCTCAAGGGGGCCACAAACCATGTGTCCAAGCATTTGGGGCTGACCAATTTGATGAGAATGATCCTGAAGAATGTGCCTCAAGGAGCTCCTTCTTCAATTGGTGGTACTTTGGGGCATATGGAGCCAATATTATTACAATTTCAATCTTGAATTACATTCAAGATAACATAAGCTGGCAGTTTGGGTTTGGTATCCCATGCATTGCCATGTCTGTTTCTCTTGCAATTTTCTGGCTTGGTACGAAGAAGTACCGCTTCTATCCTCCAGTGAGTAGCGAAGGCCTATTTGAAAATATTGGTAAATCACTTCTTGCATGGATTCGATGCTGTTGTGCATCATGGTATCCAAAGTAAGTCCAATTTAACTACCATTCAGCTTTCTTTTCGAACTATGATCTTATTTCTTCTTTTCTTCTTCTGGGCATGCAGATCATCTGACGAGTGTCACTTTGCAACTACATCATCATCCATGGGAGACAAGTACAACAGAGAAACTAAATATTTCCCTGATGTTGCTGTTGCAGTGCTTAAATTGCTCCCAATAGGGGCAACCTGCCTGATCTATGCAGTTGTCTTTGCTCAATGGATGACATTATTCACTAAGCAAGCAAGTACACTAGATAGGTGGATAGGTACCTTACAGGTACCAGCTGCTACCCTTCAAAGCTTAATCAGTGTGTCAATTGTTGTATTTGTTCCTATATATGACAGCATCCTTATTCCACTGGCCAAGAAATACTCAAGGAACACTTGTGGTATCACAACATTGCAACGAATTGGGATTGGAATGGTTATATCTGTGATCCTGATGGTTGTCGCAGCCCTTGTGGAGATGAGAAGACTCAGGGTAGCAAGAGATTATGGCCTGGTTGACAAACCTGGTGTCACAATCCCTATGAGCTTCTGGTGGGTGGTCCCTCAATTCATTCTGTCTGGCTTGGCAGATGTGTTCACAATGGTCGGCTTGCAAGAATTTTTCTATGACCAAGTACCAGATGGTTTGCGCAGCTTGGGGCTTGCTTTATACTTGAGCATATTTGGACTCGGGAGCTTCATTAGTAGCTTCCTTGTGTATACAATCGACAAGGTAACCAGTAGGGGAGGAGACAGTTGGTTCTCTGACAATCTAAACCGAGGGCACCTTGATTACTTCTATTGGCTTTTAGCTGTGCTCAATGTTCTTGGCTTGGCTGCATACCTGTATTTTTCACAAGTGTATACTCACAAGAGAAAGGGCGTTTTAGCACAGTGATTGTCTGGCAACACCCATCAGGGATAGATTGTGCCTGAGCAATGCATGGGGATGCCTCTCTTCATCATAGCAAGTTTTGGTGGAAGTTCAGCAAAAGCTATTAGGCTGGAAGATGGGTCATGGGTTGCAGCTTGTTACGTTGTTGTACAAACCTATCATGGGAGAGAATACTGTCGGTCGTGGACACACTTGTTGTACTTGTTCTTTTTCCTGTGCATATCTGCTTCAAGCCGTGAGCTATACTATGATCGTGCGATCTTACTTCGTTTTCTGCAGCCATTGCACTCGGGACTGCTCGAGCAGCTTCTGTCCTGGTCGACCAGATGGCTGAGCAGTGAACTCAACCATTACTTCTTTTCCTGATTTGCTTGTGTTTGTCGAGATTAATTATGTTCAATACTTGGTTCATTTTGATAATGTTTCCAGATTCTTGCCCATCTCTGTGGTTTTCGAGAGTCTGGACTTCAAATTGGAGCTAGGATTGGGATCTTGAACTGTTGTAGTTTGGTGAAGACTTGCTTGCTTAGTTTGGGTTTGGGATCCAGACTTATTTTGTTATTGTTACTCTCATGTACAGTGAGTACCGAGTAGTATTTACTGCTAAGAACATAATAGCTAATTAGGTGTTCTTTTGTCCATTGGTTATGAGCTTGGCAATATTTCATTTCGAAGATGGCTCTCAAATCAGTTCTGGGAAGATATTTATATCCTCTGTCCTGAAATATAAGGTATAGAAACATTCAAAATTTGTCCTAAATTACAAGGTATTATAGGTAAATTAACTCTTTAAAGAAAGCATTCCACATGCATATCTACCATTAATGTCTACCACAGGTCCACCGTGTTCAAAATATGGTAAGCACATGATCTCTCTACAGTTAATGAAGGGTTACATGTGTTATTTATTTTACCCCATAATCTGTCCTAAAATTCCTATGATACTATTGTATTTTAGAATGGAGGGATAACACAGCTAGATGGCGTGTTTACATATTGTGTTTGGTGTAATGCATCCATTAAGTGTGGAATTTTTTTTCGATGGATGGCATAAACAAAGGGACGATAAGTACAATTCACTAGTACTGACTCGTGCTATAAATTTTTATTGGTGCTATAATTTACAGCGACTACAGCTACAATAAGGGCCTGTTTAGTTAGCAAAAAATTTTGTAATGCATTGTATTTGATAAGTGTGGCCCAAACGTTTTTTTTTTTTTCGATGGATGGCAAATAAACTGCTCCAAGGGACGATAAGTACAATTCCCAAACACTAGTACTAGGTTCAAAACTCAATTTCTATAAATTTTTTTTTTCATCTACATTTAGTACTCTATGCATGTGCCGTAAGATTCGATGTGATGGATACTGCGCAAAAAAATTTGGCTTTTGGGTGGAACTAAACAGACCCTAAAACGGGTTTACGTGCAGAGTAATGGTCTGCCCACACCAACCAGAGTTTGCAGTTCAAATGGAAAACACCGACCCGAGTTTTTTAGGAAAAAGAAAAGGAATGGAGATCATAAGGACATCGTTTGGTGTTCACTGTTCACGGCAATGGCAGGTAGGGGGGGTATCACTATCAGGATGGAACACCCTCTGCGGTTGGAGCAATGTTTTTTAAGACTTCGCTATTTAACTGGAAGGCCTTTTGGTGCTACACAGACAGCAGAGCACGCTGACTTCGAAGTTCGAACAATGCAACAAGGCAGCACAGCAGCAAGGCTGCGGGATGGAGGAGACGGAGGCGGCGCTCCTGCCGCGGCCAGAGTCGCCGCTCTCCGCGGTGGATCACCTCGGCCGTCCGGCCTCACGCGGCGGCTCCGGCCGTTGACGTGCTGCGCTCTTCATCATCGGTACTTCCTCTACGGTACTCGAAAACTAGGTTTGTCGGTGGTGTCTGTGTGCGCTCTTCATCATCGGTACTTCCTCTACGGTTCCTTCTCATTGGCATAAGGTGAAATTTATCGTCAACATCCAAATAAAGTGATTTGTTTAAGTAAGCAACCATTTCAGATTTCATATCTTCTGCATCATCTCTGGATCCAGAAACTGCTACGAAAATGTCATCCATATATCTACAAGCATATAGCTTTATCTTCGTCTGACAATCTGTTTGACCTTCACTATTTTCATCCCTGCCCTTAAGTTGACTCCGAAACCAGCGCCGTAAATTTGACCCACAGTCTTCTGAAACATTTGTTGCCTCTAAACCAAGGCCTTCATGTTTCAAGCAAATCCTGAATACCTCATGGTCAAAACTGTCAAGATATATGTTCATCAGGATTGGTGCAAGTACACCTTCTTGGGGGAGCCCATGACCTTTGGGGTACCCACCAAATACCAAATTGATCACCTTAGCATCAAACATATCTTGCAAGAATGCAACTAACTGGGTGCCCTCGATCCTCTCCTTTATTAGCGAAATAAGCTTAGAGACTACATTACTATCAACTTCCTTGTGCAAGGGGACAGTAAAGCACCAATCTGGAACCCGATTTCATCATATATGTGTTAGATTGATCTCCACACGGCTCGGTTCAACGACGAGTCGGATCCTGACTCGCGCCCTGATCGGGGGCGCCCAACCGTTCTCCTGGCTGGTGAGCCCCCGTCACGCGGCACTATGAATAGGAGGTGGGGGCTGGGGCTCGAGACATGACGTTCACCGCGGCCGCCAGTTCCCACCGACATCCTGACCCTAGTTCGATCGAGAGGACGCGCTGTGAGCAATGGGAAGCTCCACCTCTTTCGCCGCCGCCACTGGACCACGCCTCCACTGCGCCTTCAACACCGCCGCCGGACTCCACTGCTACCCTACACCAACACCCGTGTCATCAACACCTACGTCATGGCTTCCTCCTCCCATCAAGCCCACCGATGGTCTGCCTCTCTACATCCTTCTCTCTCTCCCTCTAGTTCTCTCTCTAGGACGAACTACTTGTTTATCCCGAATAGAAGAGAAAAACCCCACTGATCTACGCCAAGATGATCCAAGATTTCTATCTATGGTATCAAAGCCAGGTTAGGTTGTAGATCTAGCCGAGGTAGTATCAGTTTTCAGCATTTAGAAGGAGATGAACGAATCGAGTCAAATCGGGTTGAAACCCCAACCCTAACCCTAACCCTAGAAGGGGAAAGGACAGAGAAGGGGAGGAACCTACTTGGTTTTCCTCGCCAACGTTGATACCGCCGTCGCGTGGGAAGATGCACCCGTCGCCGCCTTTGTTGGCATGTAGGAAGAAAGTCGACCGCCGCTTGTCGTCGTGCGCTCGAGCTCTGGCCAAGGGCACCACTACAAGTCCGCTCGACGGCGGCGCGCTCACCCTCAGGCGAATGCGCGCGCCGGCGAGGGGGCCTGCGGTAGCGCCGCCATCTTTCCTCCGGGCACCATCGGTGGCCGCTGCCATTCACTCTCTTACTCGGCTGCGGTGTGGAGAGAGAAGGGGAAGAAGCAAATGACTTAGGGTTCAAAGAGCAGGCCAACTACGGCGGGTTTTGTTCACGCGACTTGCGCGGCCGTCGGATCAAGACGGACGACCAGGATCGGTCGGGCCGCCTTTCGTCCCAGGCGGGCGAAGACAATACCATCACAGGCCCAAGTTGCAGCCTGGGTGCGGGGGGCGCCGCGCGCGCGCATGGGCCTTGGGCCGCCTTTTTCGCTGGGTTGGATTGCACATTAACGTTTTTAATAAGTTTTATTTTTTTAGAAGCTCTTTTTGATGTTTTTATGTCTAGTTTTGATCTCTATTCAATTTAAACCCAAGGGAAAATTTGTCTAGAAAGTAGATGAGTACGATGAGATGCTTCTGATCAATAATTATTATTTTCCGCTGCTATGAATATGTTGATCCTCTAGTTAAATTGGAACCAATGGGAAAATTTAAATTGAAGTAGTTAATTTTTTGTTTAAGTTAAATTATGGTATTGTTATTTTTCTGACCAACGTTTATGATAACAATATCATAATTTTATTTATGAGTTTAAGTTTGAAGTTTAAATCTCTGATAAATTTTGCACCAGCGTGATCAATTTTTCAGAGTAGATAAGAACCAAGAAATGCTTCTAAACTAGTAGAATACATTTTATTCTCATGCTACCATTGCAATGATGTTGATTATCTTCTAATTAAATTCGAACCAACGGAAGAATTTAATTTTGAAGAGTAGTTATAAGTCTTTCAAATTAATTTATGAGTTTTATGCATTAATTCTATTTTCCGTCCAATGTAGAATTGATGTAGAAGCACTTTTTATGTTTTAATTTTAATCGACGAGATCACTCGATTGCATGTCAACGGGCTGCAATACTGGGCTATGTGAATGAAAAGGCTTGAGTTAAGCCAGTTTTGGACTGTTTTTTGTTAATTTATTAATTTTCTGATTAATATAGAACCAACGGGGAGATTTAATTGAAAATAAAGTGGAAGTGAATGTTTTAGTCGTCATGACTAAGTTTTCGTTACAGTAAATAGTATATATATTTTTCCATCATTATGATAAGAGTTGCAATAAGTAACATACATGTCTAATTTGACTAACATTGGATAAAGCATACGTGTTTGTATATAGATTTATCCCGCATAGCGAGAGAAGTTGGGGTAGCTCTTATGCTATCTAGTAGTGACCATGGCACAATAGAAAAGCACCGTCATGGTCAATACTAACCAAAGGATAAGAAAAACATGCAAGCGTGACTTACAAAAATACTGCTAATAAAAAATCTCGTTGAGTTCTTGAAATGGAATGAGAAAAGTGTACTACTATATGAATCAAGAAATAACTTTGTTTGCATGACATAATTATGTGAATGAAGTAAGTCATAAGTGTCTCCTCGTTCATAGGTTTTTGAATAGTTCTCAAAATTATGACAGTAAAGTTTATGTCATATTTCGAGGGGAGGATTGTGAGAGCAATTAAGAGTGAGATAAAGATCAATTAAGAAAGATACTCTTCATTAAGAGTGAGATAAAGATCGATTAAGAAGGATACTCTTCATTAAGAGTTAGATAAAGATCAATTAAGAAAGATACTCTTCATTAAAAGTGAGATAAAGATTAATTAAGATGAACGTGACCGTCGGAGGAGTACAACTATCACAACAATGATACCCCTAAGCAGTAAAATAGCTAAATTTCTAGACTTTTTACAGTTCAGATAGGAAGACAGCGTAGTTAGCTAGAATTCATACTAGACGAGCCTCAAAGATATTAAGGCGGTGCTTAAAGCACTATATAAAGTTTTTTAGTAGATTAAACCCAAATAAAAAATTTGAAGATACACTATCTTTATAGAAGATGGGATAATCTGGGGGAGCATGGTATATGGAGGTATGTAGAGATCTAAGACTTAAAGAGAAGATGGACTGCGTGTCCACTCCAGTGATTCAAGAGCAACAAATTTCTCAATACCTGTTGATGTTGTATGACTTACACAACACCTGTTGTTAGCTCTTCGAAAAAGATGAATAATATAAACAATGATCTTATGATACAGGAGCCTGTAGAATCAATTGTCTCTTGGCAATGAAGAGCAACAACAGCCCTGTTGGTGTTTCGAGTAAACACCAACGAGTAAATTTCTAATATTACGCGTTTGGCTCGGATGGCGTGCTAAGAGAACATAAGGTTTATACTGGTTCGGGTGGAATGTCCCTACGTCCAATTCATTGCTGCTGCTCGTGTTACTAGCACTGAAAAGTTTGTAGTAGGGGTTACAAATGGGCGAGAGAGGGATAGGTCCCAAGTCTCTAGTGGAAAGAACGAATGGGTACCGAGAGCTCGGTCACTGCTCGGCTATGTGTTCGAGGCTCGATGCTAGTGGTTTTGATCTGATGCGATGCGATGCGTTCTCGTGTGATGCCCCTTAATGAGACGCCCTGCTTTCCCTTTTATAGGCCAAGGGAAAGCAGGGGTTACAACAGGAGAACGAGAGGGAAAGGAAGTCCTTCAGGGTCGCCAGGCCTTTCTTTTCCTTTGTGCGGGCCCCGCTGACACGGCAGGCGGTGATAGGGACAGCTCCACACCGAGCGCCTGTCCGTCGATGATGCCATGCCTTGGCATTGTCAGTGGGTCATCATGTCCCACTCTGCCCCGACGGGCGGCGCGGCAAACCAGCGTGCTGATCAGCGACCGTACAGGGAGTAGGCAGCATAGTGACCACGTGTCCATCACTATGGGCAATGTGAGTTCCCTAGAAAGACATGTCACGGGGATGGGTCATGTTGAGACGTGACCGCTCCCTGCACGATGCTAGAAGTTTGACTTTGGGTTGTACTTTCTGCCTCGTAGTGGTTGGTGGTAGCGTGAGCTTCCGTTAGGAGCCATGCCCGAGGGATCGGGTGAGGTGGAGCCCACCCTCAGACGTCGGGCAAGGCGAAGCCTGCTGCCTCGGTGTCGGCAAGGCAAAGCCCGTCCCCAGAGGTCAGGCAAGGAAGATCGCATGACCTTGGGGTTGGGCGAGGCAGAGCCTGCCCTTAGAGATTGGGCGAGGCAGAGCCCACGGCCTCATTGTCGGACGAGGCGGAGCCCACCCCCAGGGGTCAAGCAAGGCGGATCGCACGACATTGGGGTCAGGCGAGGCAAAGTTTGCCCTCAGATGTCGGGCGAGGTGGAGCCCACCTTCAGACATCGAGCGAGGCAGAGCCCGTCCTCAGACATCGAGCGAGGCAGAGCTAGCCCTCAGACATCGGGCGAGGTGGAGCCCGCCCTCAGGGGTCGGGTGAGGCGGAGCCCGTGATCTCGATGTCAGGCGAGGCAGAGCCCGTCCCTAGATGTCGGACGAGGTGGATCGCACGACCTTGGGGTTGGGCGAGGCAGAGCTCGCCCTTAGAGGTTAGGTGAGGCGGAGCCCACAGTCTCGGTGTTGGATGAGGTGGAGCCCACCCCCAGGGGTCGGGTGAGGCGGATCGCACGACCTTAGGGTTGAGCGAGGCGGAGTCTGTGGCCAGAGGTCGGGCGAGGTGGAGCCCACGACCTCGGTGTTGGTTGGAGCTATAGTCACACCTTTGACTATCTGGATGGATTAACGTATAATGACCATTAGCTCCTCCTCTTTGGGTACCCTAGTATTGGTTCCCGACAATAGCCCCTGAGCTTTCGGAGGAGTAGGATACTCCTTCAGAGGCTTTTCTGAATGGGAGGACTCTGAGGGCTTTGGCCTTCTTCTATAGCCCATGACGTAACCTGAGAACGGTGGTTCCCTTTCATTGAGACTGGACCCTTCGTGGGTGTGGCTGCGAGATTTGGTGGTTTGGAAAAGGTCTTTCTTGATTAGAGCCCTGGTATCCCATTCACGGAGATCCGGCTAGGGCCAGCTGGTGACCGACTCTAGATTCTTAGTGGTCAATACATATAGTTCTTGGGTCCGTTTGACCAGTCCCGAGGGATCACTACCTTCCTTAGGGAGAAAACCA